AGCGTGAGCACAGGCTCCCACCTGTCCCTCATGTCCCACACTGCTGGCTCCCTGCATGTGCCATCTCCTGTGAAGCGGCCTGCTGCTCCCCGTACTGCTGAGACAGCAGTGTGGGGAGTGGTGTGGGCAGGTGGGAGTTGGTACTTGTAGGAAGCGGGCTTAAAAGCTGTCTCCCCACAAGCACTGGCTCCCACAGAGCCACATGCCCCCCATGCTGCTGCCTCTGATACAGAGGCAGCAGAGGGGAGAACTGGAGTGGGTGCTTGTGGGGAGCTGGCTTAAAAGCCAGTTCTGTGCAACCATCTCCCATTTGCCTCCATGTGAGTAAATATGTAACCACTAAAAAATTCAACAGTTACAGGTTTACACAAATACATGCATTTTAACATCCCTAAAATCAGCTACTGTGGATGCATGTGCCAACTCAGTACTGACTTTTAAGAAATACAGTGTGGCGCATTTGTGTATCTAATGGCAGGATGCGGAGACATAAGTGGACTGTATTTCCTTTAAAGCTACTAATTTACTATTAAGGTAGATTAATCTTTGTGGCAGAGTAATTTAGGTGGTTATTAGCCCTTTGAATGCACAGTCTAGTTCAAAGTGGCCGTTAGTCTTCCATAGCATTGGTCCTGGTTGATGTGATAGTGTCTCTGTGTCACAAGATCATCATCATCACAGCCTCATTTAAAACAAGGAAAAAAAAACCCTGTGTTGATATTTGTTTAAAACAAAAAAGTCACCATTTGATGGCAAAGGGGGGGTCATGGCCTCGCTCCCCCCCCCCGCGCCCCACTTGCGAGAGGCATTCAGCTATTACTGTGTTGAAGGCCATATAAATATTTTTTTAATGTTATGAGACCTGATCAAAATTGCACTCTAAAATTGGTTGGATTGGAAAATTCAACTTCTTGAAACAGTCCTCAGATTTAAAATAAATCACCTTGTGTTCCCATTTATGTTTACCTCTGTAGATACTTCTGGAAGGTCCTGGCACACTGAAGTTTAATAATTTTTGCCTGGCTAAAGCAGAAGGTGAAAACTTGGAAGAATTTTTTGCTTTAATTGGATCAGAGGAAGGAGGAGGAGATAGCAGTGAAAGCACTTCACGAAGAAACCTGCAAAGTCAACTCAGAGGTATACCATACAGTATATGTTTTATCCAATCAAAGTACCTAAACCCAATGAGGCCTAATGAAATGTTTTGATTTTAAATTGTGTTGAGAAGTAGGTGTCGAGTATTCTCTGCCAGCAACTTTTAAAATACAGTAGCAACACCTATGATTAATGGCATCATAGGAGATAGAATTAATTTAAAGTATGTGTACTACGTTTGCATTTCAGAGAGCCTGAAAGTTAATTTTGGATAGTTTTCTTCCATGGAATATGGTAGGGTTATATGTCATCAGCTTTTTGTTCAGCATATAAAGTTATTGGGAATCGCCTTCAGTATGGACTATATGCTACTACTGTATTGGATAACCATTTATTATCAGTGGTTTGAAGTATATTTTCCCTTCTGTTGCTGGCCAGGAAACTTTCCATTCTCCCTCTGGATGCAAACCTGGCTACTGTGATTCACGTTATTATTATTATTTTTTTTAACAAATATGCTTCTCTATCGCAGTGCCTTGTACTTAGGAATGAACTCTGGTCATTAAGAAAAGTTTCTGTTGCAAAATAAAACAGCCTTTTCATTCAAGAATGCTGGCTCATACTACAAATGCATTATTAGGCCAGATATTCAGATGCCAACAAGTATGAAAATGAATTCAAAGTTCTGTACTTAATATTAAAAATTCTATATATGCTGGGCTTGGACTATTTCGGAAATCTTTCTCTCCGAAATGATGTTGTGTCAGAAGCACTATGCTTACCAGGATCAAGTGACCTATTAACAATAAGAGCAAAACTTACACAAGCAAGAAACAAAACTTTCTTAATGGAAATCCATATTGCAAGAAATAAGAATGATAATGAACCTATTTTATTCAGGAAGAAACATGAACCCAACAACCTCTGTGATATATCTTTATCAGAGTGAGTGTGATCTGTATGTATGATTTACATCTTACTTGGCTTACAAACCAAAACCTAAGGATAAAAGAAACTAATATGCTCCCTTGAAAGGAGGATGACAGTTTTGTTGACTTGGTGTAATTGTATAAGGACCTCTGTTGCCACCCTTATTAACTAAGGTATAAGACAGATGGATAATAAACTCTTGTTTTTATTCTTCCTAGGTTGAGGGTAATTGGCAGACAAATATGTTGTATCTACAAGTTACCTTTTGGATATGAAATATTATTTATTTATTATTTGTATTCAGGAGTATTATAAAAAGTATGCGTAGTATGTATTGATCAAAAATGCGGCTGGGTAGCACTACAGTCATTCTCTGACAAACACAAAAGTATGTACAAGTCAGTTTTACCTCTGACTTTGTCTGCTTTAGTATTTTAGTAGCACTCCAGCCACTTAAAGAAAAGGGGATTGTAGGAAAATAAAGACGATTATTCTGATAAACCATTTGGCTTATAATCGGATTTGTATATTTTGTTATTGCCAGTATTTATCAAGTAAATAAAAATACATGGAACTTGGCTTACGTTTGTAACCAATATCCTATTTATTGGCTTCAACAGTAGTTTTGCCTGTGCAAGGGTATGGGAACAGAAACCATATGAACAATACTATGAATAATTCTACATTATTTTTTTCTGTTGGTTGGGTTTTATCTTGCTTCAGTTGCATGGCATATATATCTTCATTCCTGGATTTCTCTAACTAAATTTCATAAAATAGTCCTCTGTTTTAAATCATGGTAAACATTTGTGAATCTTCAGCTCTGTGGCTTTTATTCAAAAGGGGTTGCTGTGTATCTTACAAAACATGAATAGTATTAAGAAAAAAATAGTTCTAACAGAAAAGTCATTTCATTCTCCTCCTTACTCTTTCCTTGTACAGTCTGTGAAAGCTACAGGAAATCCTTTTTGAATACACAGAGCTTTTAAATAGTTATTTAAAGCTAGTGTGGATGATGGTCCGCTTAATGAATATTGTCTATATAATAGTTATTATGGTGGTTTGCCTTTGAGATTTTCCCCCCTTCCTTTGAAGCATCTGATATTGGATGTCCTATACCTAATTATCCCCTCCTCCTGCCTTCACTTCTCTCCTTCCGCAGGCTCTTGCTGACTTTTTATAAAAGAAAAATGACAAAATACACCATGACCTTTTTCTTCTGCAATCCCTACCGCAACTCTCTCCTTCTTCCTTGTTACAGATTCAGGAGGTTCTTGTCTGTTCTCTAACCTCTCCTCTTGGCCCAGCGACCCTATCCCGTCTTCTGGTCTGCCTTCTTCTCACTCTTACCTCCCTTCATCACTCTCTCCCGACTCTAAATTTCCCCTTCACAATACAACCTTGTTGTAGTCTTTCCCATCTTAAAATAAAAAACCATCTTTGACTCTGCTGTCCTTTCTCCTTTTCCCCTTTTCTTAGCTCATTAAGCATGCTGTTTGGAAGTCCTCTGCTTCAGTTCCATGCTAGGCCCTTCTGTTCCTTACAATCCACTGAAACTGTTCTTGCCAAAGTCTCCAGTGACCTCTTCTTAGCTGAAGCTCAGAATCAGTACTCTACCCTCATTGACCTGTCAGCTATCTTTGACTCCATCACCCATGCTCTCTTTTTGAAATGTTGACGTCCCTTGGCTTCCATGACACTTCTCTTCTGGTTCTCACTCAGCCTCGCTCAATACTTCTTCAGAGTAGGGATGTAATAGTGTAGTTGATTAACCAATTAACAGATAAGTAAAGCTTATAGGTTAATGCTACATGCATTTCCCTTCCCTCCCCTACCAGCAAGTCAGTCCTGGCTTGCAACAGACTGCTGCGGCTCTGCATTTAAAGTGTATTAGGAGGCAGAGGGGCAGGCAGCCTGGCTCAGTTCCAGCTTGCACTGGGTCCAGGAGCTCAGACACGCCCTCCTCCCAGACAGGGGTTGCTGCTGCCCCATGCTGTTGCCTCTTTATCAGAAGCAGCAGCACAGGGCAACAGGCAACCAGTCTGTGAGAGGGGCTCCCTTCACATACCAGCTGCCGCCTGGCACCCCATGGTTCTGCCACTGATACAGAGTTGCAGGGGGCTCCTCCAAAGTGGGGCCCAAGTACACTGGTTGCTGGCCCTGCCTCCAGGGACTATAGAATAGTCAACTAACAGATAAGAATTCATGATATTATTCGACTAGTCAGTTAATATTTAACATCCCTACTTTTAGGGGATTAGCTTTCTTCCCATACCTGTTTTCTATTCAGGCTCCTTATGGCTCATGCCTTGTCCCTTTCCTCTTCTCCCTCTAGACTTGATCTCTGGTAAACATACAGGCTACGTCTACACTGGCCCCTTCTTCGGAAGGGGCATGCCAATTTTGAAAGTGGGAATAGGGAAATCCGCGGGGGATTTAAATATCCCCCACGCGATTTAAATAAACATGGCCGCCGCTTTTTTC